TTGATAATTATGCTTTATTATTTGAAGGCGAAAGAGAATACCTAAAAGTAAAGCTAATCTTACCGGCAAAACTTTAGATTTCTTATTAGAAATTTTTTAGCAATCATGTTTGTAGCAACATTTTAAATTTTACAACTAAAAAAAAATAATCACAATTTAGTCTATTAAGCTTTCTGAACCATAATTAAAATTATATATAATTTTTATTTTTTGTTTAACACATTTATCTCAAATTGAATAATGTTAATAATTTGCATCAAATATATACACGCTTGTAAATAACGTATTTGCATTGGGTTTGACAATAAAATTTAAATTGTATTTTCAAAAAATTAATAATAATTAACCTATATACATTATTATTTAAATGCTATGATATTGTTACAATGTAATTAACACAAAAAGTTATCTGAACATAAATAAAATTAAATGAATGAACGATAATTTTTACAAGATATTTTATTCTGTATATAAACCGGTATTTTACATGATCGTCTTGTTAAAAGATCATCGATATGGTGAAAATTTTAAATTTTTTTTTTTTTAAATATGGTAAAGTTAATTGTATAAGTGTACGCGATGATAAATATTTTACATCCATATGCTTCATGGAAAATTATAATCCACAGACCTCAACGGTATTCTGGTAATCCTTTAGAAGACTCTCCTTACAATCTGATTCCAGAATAAACTATACATTTTGCTTTTCGGTACGGATATAATAATGTACATATTATTTTATATTTTGCCACACAATCTAATTGAAGGATTATCTCTCCTTAGGAATATCTAACACATAATGTGCGTCAACGTATCTTTCAGCGTTCTCATCATCTTCAAAAGTAAGTAAATATCGTGAAGTTTTTGGTGTTAATTTACTTGGTGGAATAACTACAACAGCTTTGTAAAAACATGTCGTGTGAGGATATAATGCTATGACTGTTGAATCTTTTGGAAATTCCGGTGAACGCATTTCTCCAGGATTTGGAATTGCTATAACATTTTTCACTGGTACTATAAATCGTCTGTATTAAAGGATAAAAACATGAGATCGAAGAATAGAAAATGCGAAAATGTGAACAAAGTATAGCAAGCAAATTAGGGAGGGACTTACTCTCCAGGTCTATTTGATGCCTCGTCTTTATCCGCATCCTCGACTTCGTAACTTAATTCAGACGAATTATTAGAATTAGAGTATTATTGGGGAAAGATGTGGTTTGTTGTATGAGATTTTTGTTACCTCTTTGATTCAGGCTTATACCCTACAACTGTGGCCAAAATCCAATTTTCTTCGATGTCTTTATCTCTAGGTTGTTTCGCTGCGACCTATCAGATACATAAACCAGAATATTATGAAACTAAATTCTTTTACTAATAATAATAGTAATAGTAATCCAAAACAAAAAAAAAGAAAAAAACTTACTGATGTTCCATTTTTAATAATGACGCTACTTTTCGATTGCGACCTAAGTTTTAATTATATTAAGTACAGCAGGAAAAGCATTGAAATTTTGTACATACACTTTTGGTTTTTTCGCCTTATTGTTAACTGATGTGTTTTCCTGACTTCTCTTTTTTTTATGGTTATTTTCTTCTATATTTAAACCATCTAATGTTAAGTTAAAATTAGCACAGATATTGGAAATCATAACCTTACATAGCATAGCAAATTAACGCTCAAAAATAAAAGACAATACCTGATGGTGTTCTGGAATCTTTTATGGACTCTAGATACTTATCGATATCTTTTGTGATCTTTTTATCCATTCTGAGCTTATTCAAAAAAAAAAAAAAAAAAAGACATGAAATTGGATATATGAAATACTATAAGTTTGATAATTAATGAATGAAATAATTACTCTTCTTCACGGCTAGCCTGCTTAATAGCATCTCTATATAAACTCTCAAGTTTTTCTTTGACATCCTGAGTCGCATATCCAGCTAGATACATAAATTTTATAATTACATTTTATTTGGTACGAATTCATTTAAATGAACTATGAATATTAAAACATTTAATAGTTTGATAAATCAACTACCGTGCTGTATTTTGTCATGATGTTCGTTTATTAAATTAATTAATTTGACACCTTCATTTTCTACCTCTTCCAAGTTGGCAAGGCTGTCATTTATCTGAACCAAAAAATCTTCAGAATCAGGAGATTGGCGAGAAGTTTCGCCTCGATATTTGTCCATACTCATTGTTTTTTTTACAGTCAGTTTTATAAATTAATATATAATTTAATAATAGTATATAATAAAAAAAAAAAAAAAAAAAAAAGGGAAAAAAAAGAAATTGAAAATTCGGAAAACCTAATTTGTGTAGCCGGTCCAGGGTTATTATTCGTTTTCCAAAATTGGATGATAGCCAAAGATGTTTAGTGTTAGATAATTTTTAATAGTACTAATACATTAGATCGCATACATAAGCACGAAAAAAACAAATACGCAATTATTATTATAGAAGGTTCTTTTCCTAATTTGTGAACATGTCCCACATTCGCTTTATGTAGCAAGGCTTATTGTGCATATCGATAAATATTGTACGGGGTTTGAAATTCGCACCTTTACTTTAATAAAACTCTCTCCGTTTCCCTGATTTTATTTTGTCACTTACGTCATTCACTTTTTATTTCAGTATTTCTTTTATCATTCATGGAATCATTATAATTATTAATAAGTAAATTATAAATCCAATCTCCTTTATTAATCCCTTTTTCTAAATGTCCGTAACCTTTAATTCATTGCCATAAGCATACTTGCCTATATATGCTAAGTTTAATATTCAATTAACCTTTATAACCTTCATATTAACCGTAAATGCTTTTTGATAAAATACTGATTAAACCATTTTTGTATTATATATTCTAATTGTGTTCAATACAATAAATGGATTTCAAAAATGAAATCGATCAACTGAAAGAATCACCTTTGTCTTCTACATTTATAAATCTACCTTTAAGTCATCCTATCAAAGAACACAATGAAGGAAACAACAACAATAATCGACTAAGCATTGAAAGCGTTGGGTCCGGAGTAAATAAACCTATTAATAATTTGTATCGGTCTTCAACGTGGCCGTCTGTTCAGCCAAATTGTTCAAACAGTAATACTTCTTCAGTAATACATAGTACCGACAGTTCAGTCCCTGCTTCTCAACATGTTAGAAGTCAGTCATTGAGCCAACGAATAAATCAGTCATTACATCGGAAACGAGAGAGTCTGAAATCTGCAACAAAAAAAATAACATCGATCGTAACTGGTTCTAAGGAAGATGTTATCTTTCGCAAAATTTCGGTCATTCCGGAAAGAACTGATCCGCTTATAGACTTTAAAACTAATTCCCCATTTATTAACAATTCGATAACTACTTCACGTTACACTTTTTTCAATTTCCTTCCGAAACAACTTTATGCCCAGTTTTCAAAGATTGCTAACGTATATTTTCTTTTCGTTGCTATAATTCAAACTGGCATGTATTCATAATCATATAACAATCAATTTTTTTTTTTTTTTTTTTTGCGCCTAATTCCACTTCTAACTTGCGTATCCTGATGCATATTATAGTGCCTGGATGGAGTCCTACTGGTCAATTTACCACTTTGATCCCTTTATCTGTATTCTTATCAATAGCCATGGCTCATGAAGGCTTTGATGATTATCGGAGGCACAAACAGGATACTATAGAAAACAACAAGGAATGTTCAGTATTAAATGTTTATCGATCAAATGATGTGACATCTTCAAGATTAGGTGTTTGGAGAAAAACGAAATGGAAAAATTTACGTGTCGGTGATATTGTGAGTGTTAAAGCTCAAGAATGGGTTCCCGCTGATTTATTGCTATTGCATTCTAAAGGTGAAAAGGGGGCTTGCTTTGTCGAAACTGCTGCTTTAGATGGCGAAACTAATCTTAAGCAAAAGCAGGCTCTCAAGGATACAAACAATACATTGGTTTCTCCAGAAGCCCTCGCTAATTTCAAAGGTATTATTTAGTTATGTATTTATTGTGATATATTTGATAAAATTTTCTAAGATTGATTGATTGTTAATAATAGCTATGGTTTGTACTGAGAATCCAAATCAAGATTTGTATAACTTTGATGGATCTATAGAGTTCTCTGATGGAAAAATGTGTGCGCTTTCAAATGATCAAATTTTATTACGTGGCACCATCTTACGCAATACTCCTGAGATATATGGGCTAGTTATATTTACTGGTGAAGAAACCAAACTTCGAATGAATGCTTCAAAAAACATTCGAACAAAAGCTCCTACGATACAGCAATTGGTTAATAAAGTGGTTATAATTATATTCGTGTTTGTCATGTTTTTATCTGTTTTTTGTACGACGATGTCGGAAATTTGGAACAAACATTTTTGGAAAAGCGCATGGTACGTTTTCGGGATTGATAGACCGTTGCATATATCATTATTTGCATTTATTATCTTGTTCAACACCATGATTCCGATCTCTCTCTACGTTACTATGGAAATTATTAAGCTGGTTCAAGTTTATTTTATTAACAAAGATATTAATATGTATCACGTGGAAACTGACACTCCAGCTGAGGCTCGAACAGCAACAATCAATGAAGAATTGGGTCAAGTTAGTTATGTTTTTTCTGATAAGACTGGAACACTCACAGATAATATAATGTTATTTAGAAAGATTAGTGTTGGTGGGCGAGCATTTTTACACGATATGGATCTGTGTGATACAGAGGATGAATTATCACAAATGTTAGATCAACGTCAAAATTCTGTTACAAAAAGACAAGATAGATTTTCTTATACGTCAATTGAACATAATATTCGTAACCGAACTTTTGATAGCATTGATGATTCTGAAGATATTCAAATGGAGTCTCCAAAGCGCAGAGATTCATCTTTTAGTAATGGGCGTTTTTCAATGATTGCACCACCTGTTACTGGTCCATCTCCGATATATAAACGTGATTCAATATCCAGAAGCACTGTAGGATCTATAACAAAAGACAGAGATTTAACAATTGATTCCACTATTAGGTTATTGTCCATCATTCAACATAAATCCCATACACCATTTGGGGAAAAGGCAAGATTCTTTTTATTGGCTATTGCATTATGCCATACTTGTGTGCCTGAGATTGATCCAATAACAAATGATGTATTTTATCAAGCTGCATCACCTGATGAATTTGCTCTTGTGAATGCTGCTAAAGAGTTAGGATATATTATTATGGATAGATCGATGTCCTCAGTCTCTCTATTAATTAATAATGATGGCCCCGCTGGATTAAAAAATCCTAATAACGCGGAAAAAACATACGAGACATATCAAATTTTAAATGTCATTGAATTTTCAAGCAAAAGAAAGAGAATGAGTGTTATATATCGTTTGCCTAATGGAAAAATATGCCTATTTTGTAAAGGGGCAGACTCGATAATACTTGAGAGATTAATCAATCCATCAGAAAAATCGGGAAAAGGAAAAGATGCGTCTAGTGGCATGAGAGAAAAATTTAATGAAATAAATTTAAAGGGAAATATTCGTATAAACACTTCAATCCATCGAGATATAGCACATATAATTACAGAAAGTAAACGTAATTCTCAGGCATCATTAAATAATGACGGACAAAGATATAGCATAACAATAGATCCTGAACATTTACCGGCTGATTCCTTTCCGATTTACGATGAAAAATGGCTTTATAGCAAAACTATGCATCATATCCAACAATTTGCGACTGAAGGATTAAGAACTTTACTTTATGGGCATCGATATTTAGAAGAAGACGAGTATAATGAATGGAATAAATTGTATCAAGAGGCTTCGACCGCTATTGCGGATCGACAAAAAAAATTGGAACAAATCGCGGAAATGATTGAGAAAGATTTAGAGATCACAGGAGCTACAGCGATTGAAGATAAATTGCAAGATGGAGTTCCAGAAACCATCGAAAAATTGCGTAGAGCAGGAATTAAAATATGGATGTTGACTGGTGACAAGAGAGAAACTGCGATCAATATCGGATATTCTTGTTCTTTAATTAAGAATTATTCTATAACCATTATTATAGATCAATGTTTTGACCTTAATCTGACCTTAAAACAAGCATTAGAAAATATCTACGGCAACCAAGGAAAACATGTCGTAGCAGTAGTTGATGGTGCCACGTTGATGGTAATCGAACAAGATGATGTACTTATGGAAAAATTCGTTGAATTGGGAATTATATGTGATTCAGTTATTTGTTGTCGTGTAAGTCCATCACAAAAAGCTTTGGTAGTTCGAAATATTCGAAGGAAATTATCTGATATAGTAACATTAGCAATTGGAGATGGTGCAAATGATATTGCAATGATTCAAGAAGCACACGTTGGAATTGGAATTACAGGCAGAGAAGGATTACAAGCTGCAAGAACAAGTGATTATTCGATAGCTCAGTTTAGATTTTTAAGCAATTTGTTGTTCGTACATGGTAGATGGTCTTACATACGAGTTTCAAAGTTTATTTTAGGAACATTTTATAAATGTATGTGTTTTTACCTTACGCAAGGGATATTTCAACTTTTCACTGGATTCTCTGGAACTAGCTTATATGAACAATGGACTCTTTCATTTTATAATACATTGTTTTCATCATTGCCGGTCATGGTTATTGGAATGTTTGAGAAAGATTTAAACTATAAAACATTATTAGGGGTTCCAGAATTGTATACGCAAGGACAACGTAATGATGCTTTTAATTTAAAAATTTTCTTCACTTGGATGAGTGATGCAATTATTCATGCTCTTGTAATAGTTATGATACCATTTATTCTACATGGAATCCCTTATAAATACGAATTTAGAAGATTTGAATCACCTCAATTATACGAACTTGGATTAATAGTATATACATGTGTAGTTTTTGTGGTTACAATCAAGATAGCGTATGTGGAGTGTCATAATTGGACAGCTGTAACACATGCTACATCATTTTTAACATTATTTGGATGGTTTTTATATCAAACAATTTATTCTTTTGTTTACCCTATAGACACAGAAACTGCAACTTATGATGTACGTGGAGTATTTCAACGAGATGGAATTAAATGCGAATTTTGGATAACCGTAATGTTAACAATTTTTATAGCTATCATACCAAATATTTTAACAAAGATAGGAAAAAATGTTTTTTATTTTACCGATGTTGATAAATATCAAGCCATTGAGAAGGATGATGAATATTTACAGAAAATTATTGATGAAGGTACTTTTGATGTAAATGAAGAATTTAGAGATGATGATATTCAAACCGAAAAAGACTTTAACCTGAAGAAAGGCAAAAGAAAATCATATACCGAAAATTATAAGACTACAATTGATAACTACTCAATTAATCCCGATTATAACCTTGATGATAATGATGAGATGATAATACAACATCATGAAAAATTCGTGGAACGACAACAAACATAGACTTCTCATCTTCTAAGTCGTTAATTTCAGAAACTTATCTAGACGATCTTTTCAGGAAAAACTAACGATTAATAAAATTATTAGTGGGTAGTGAATTAAAAAAATTGTATTAAATAATGTTAGAGTACCAATTGAGATGTAATTATAAAACGCTTTCTGTTCTTGTATAGTTTTCTCTTTATAATTAATTTGTTAAATCAAAATTCAATACATTTAAATATAGAATCTTTTCTATTACTCTAATTAATAAATTTAATGATATTACATTATAATATATTGTATTCGTTTATTTTTATTCTGTGCGCGACAACGTGAAATGTAATGACAATAAACCTACAAAGTCTAGTGAAAAAGATAAAATCTCTTGACATCATTTGTGACAAGTTTTTGCGTACTATCGACGCGACGCGAAATCACTTATCTGTTATGCCAAGTTTTTTCGTACACGATAAAATGACTATGACAATAAATCTGACAACAATCCGTTGAAAAATCTCTTGACGCGTTATTATTTGTGACAGGTTTTTTTTTACACGTATGTACTTGATAAAACAACTCCAAATGACAATAAATCTGATGCGATATCAATTCATAATTTCAATACGAATGTTAATTCGATAACATAATTTATTTATTTAATATAATGAATTACAGCATGTATATATAAAACAATGAATCTATAACAATTTTTTATACAGTAATAATTAATTTAAATAATGCAAAATTATTTGATATATAATAAAAATGATTAAAAAACTCTTATAGCATCAATCATCATTCGATCCAATTCTAACTCTAACATATCAAGTTCTTGATTTACACTCTCAAATACTGATTTAATTTCATCTCTAATTTCTGCAGGATTAATTCGTTCAAGAATTTTTTCAGGATCATCATGTAAATGCCATCCGCTTCTCCTCCTTTGCTTAATTTCCAACATGTTTACTCCTGATCTAACAAGTACTAAAAGTTCTTGCAACCCAAAATCATCTGACAAAATCCAATCGTTCTCTAAAAGTGAGGCAGTTGACCCAATAATACTTTGTTTATCAATCGTGTCTTGAGATAAGGTATTATCGATAGTAATAGGTAATAAACCGCCTGTTATATCTCCAGCATTACTAATGGAGATATC